TATCTCATTCATCGATTACCAGGGTTAATATTTTGGTTTTAATCTTTCCAGTCTTTACACACACACACACACACACACACACACACACACGCACACACACACTCACTCACTCCATACTTCTGGTTTTACAAATATAATAGGATGATCCTATTTGGAAACCTGATTTTTAGCATTGATTAACAATCTATTCATTTATACAGCATGTACGAATGCCCCTTTTGTGTAGGTCTCCCCAGGCCTGGGGATGCTGTGGTGATTAACAGTTCCCGTGTATTCCCTGAACTAACTGGGCACAAAGGGAGACAGCAGCCAGGAAACGTAACATTAGAGCTTGAAGTAAAGTATTCTGATAAGGACAAAGTACAGAAGCAAATACTGATATGGCTGGAGTGCAGCCGGGGACCAGAGGGTTTGGGAACATGGTGGCAGCCAGAATAGTGACCTCAGTGAAGGGGACAGCAACCCTAAAGGCCTTGGCCTGCGAAGGGCCTTGGTGTACAGGAGGGACTGGCAGAGGGCAGTATGGTGGAAACAGAAGGAATTAAGAAGTCAAACTGGATGACAAGAATAGGACCTTTTAAGCAAAACAGAATTTTTATTTTAAATAAAGAAGGATGACATGAATGGATTTTAAGCAAGAGAGCATGTTACTTAATCTTATAATGTTTTAAAGAGTATATCCCATCGAGCATGGTGGCTCACAACTGTAATTCTAGCACTTTGGGAGAACGAGGTAGGCTGATCGCAAGGTCAAGAGGTCGAGACCATCCTGGCCAACATGGTGAAACCCTGTCTTAATGAAAATGCAAAACTTAGCCGGTTGTGGTGGCACACTCCTGTGGTCCCAGCTACTCGGGAGGCTGAGGAGGAAGAATCGCTTGAACCCAGGATGCAGAGGTTGCAGGGAGCCGAGAATGTGCCACTGCACTCCAGCCTGGTGACAGAGCAAGACTCTCTCTCAAAAAAAAAAAAAAAAAAAATCGAAAAGAAAAGAAAAGAAAAAGAAAACATTCCTTTGACCAATGTCTGGAGAACATATTGTTGTGAGGGAACAAATCAGAAGCCAAGAGATCAGTTAGAGAGCTATTGTGGTAGTCTGGCCAACGTGCCATGGTGGAATGGAGAAATATGTAAACTCTGATATATACTTTGGAAATAGACCAATAATCTATACTAGTGGTTGGATGTGGGTGGTTAGTTATATCTTCAAGGTTTTAAAAAAGGTGGTGATGCTTAGGGGAAGACTAACTTTGAGTTGCTTTTCTTTGAGGGAAGGTAGGGATGGGGAAATTGATAGATTCATTTTAGGTGTGTGCTATTTGAGATGCTGTGAAACATTCAAGTAGAGATTTTAAGTAGGTCATGAGATCCGCTTATCTGGAATTCAGAGAAGAGGCCTGGACTGAAGATATGAATGTGGGACATTGACCTTGGCAGTGATGTTGGCCTTGGATTTATAGAATAAGGTACTTATGAGATCAGAGGACACCCTCAGAGGAGTTTAGCATTTGGCAAGAGAAGCAACAGTCAATGCAGTGAACTGAAGCAGAAGAGGTCTGTGAGGTCAGGGGCAGGAGCAGTGTGAGAGCATGGTCTCATAGAAGTGGAAAAAGGAAAGTGACCTACGTTTCCTGTGATTAAGTATTCTAAACTTTAAATGTTAATGTCTGCATAATGTTTTATTGAATGGATGTACCATAAATTATTGAAATTCCTCCCTTTCCTCCCCCCACACATATCTGGGCTGGAGGATATTTAGGCTGTTTACAACATTTTTGCAGTTAAGACGAACATCATGACAGTGAATCTGTAGGCACATGTATAATAAATTTTAAAAGTATATTTCTAGAAACAGGATTATGGAGTAAAAATTAATTTTAATAAATAGTTTAACATCTAATGTATGATGTCTTTTCTACTCTTTATAAAGACATTAAGAAAATTAAATGGCATAATTTCCATTAATAATATGTCTATAATCTAACAGAGTCAATTCAGAAATAATAGAAAAGGCACTTACTAAATACCTATTGTTTCCTAGATGTTGTGTGATAGATTTAGAACTTTTCTGTTTTAGGTACAGCACTGAGATTCAGGGAACTCACTCCACCTCAAATTACTTATTTTGTTATAATGTTGCAAAGATTTGAATGAATGTCTGTCTCTATATTATTTGTTAGTTCCCTTAAATTTCTCCGATAATTTCTTTCCATTGTTTTCCCTTTATCCATTCCAAACTCTCTACATTGCCCCTTTTTATATTGGCTACATTTACACTTCAGTATCTTCTTTTCAATGTTGGACAGCTCCTTTTTTTGGTCCTTGTAAATCTCCTGTCTTCACCTAATATTACCAATGACTGTGATTCTCACCAATTCCTCCATGTAAGCTCACCTCCATTATGAGTCCACTCTCTGCAGGGTAGAGTGTTGCATGTATCTTAAATTAACATCACTTAAGAGGGAGATCTGAGGGCCCCAAAATGCATCTGCTTAATCTCTGTAAGGCTTCTTCAGCAGTAGGAATGAATACATCGTTGTTGAAATTAATCAATCTACACCTTACAGATTTATAGATATAATAGCTATAATGTAATGACAATCATTTCTCCAATGTTCCACGCTCTGTGTTAATCAGCTTACGTGTATAAATATTAATCCTAGGGTCAACACTAATATAAATATTATCTCCACTTTAAGGTAAGCAAAGCCAACCCTGCAATATAAAAATCATTTTTATTCTACATAAGAAAAGTTAAGAGAGATGAAATACATCATCTGAGGTGTCACCGGCTATCTAAGGACAGAATCTGACTCAATTCTGCCTGCCTTTAAAATCTGTGTGTTTCATTATTACACAATCTTGCTTGCATGGATGTACAAAATATCACTCATAGACTTACTATAAAATTGTTAGAATTAAATGGAATCTTGAAACTTTCATCAATACAACCTCATTGCACATCCTCAAAAGACTAGAACATTTTCCCATGAATAAGTGTAGCAAAATGCCTCATTGCCTACTGCAGAATCTAAAAGAGAGACCAGTCCAAAATAATGTTTTGTAAATGAATGACTACAGCCATAGGAAGCTATCATCTCAGGGGGAAACTCTCCATTTCCACCCCAAATAATCTTTCTTTTTCACATCACTGCCACAGTGCCCTGGGCCCCACTCTTTCTTTTAGGGGCTTAGAATCCTCGGCCACTTTTGCAGAGAAACAAGCTGCATCCTATAAGAGTGAGAAACTTAACTCCTGCATGAAAGTCAATAGGCAACTTGCTGGTGAAGCACATTGCCTATTGATTTAGGTGAAGCACAGCACTTCCCCAGGAGGAAACTGAGGCTGGGGGGGGGAGCTCAGGATGCACTTTTATGGTGTTGACTTAGATGGAGGCTGGGCTATTTCTGGATGCTGACCGGGGTTTTCATCAGTGCTACCCATATATAGACACTTCTTTCCTCTTTCCAGGCACTTGTGTTGCACCGGAGCAAGTGCAGAAAATCAACACCAAGACAAAAGTATGCCAAATTGCAGGATCTTTATTGCTGGCAGCCACGGAGAACTCATGTCTCTCCAACCTGTGCCCCGAGCTCAGGGGGAGCAAAGTATTTAAGCTGCAAAACCACATCCTTGTTCAGGGGGCCACAGCGGTGTGCAAGGCAAGCTGTCTGTACAGAAGCTAAAGTCAGCGGTTTGTTGCAAGGGAAGGGTGGTAGCAGTGGAAATTTTTACCCTTAACACTTCTGAGAATTGCAGTAGAGTAACAGTTCTGAGAACTACACCTCTGCCCTGGGCCCAGGGGGCTTCACTATAAGATGGAGGTGCTTAGGCTTTTGTTTTAGCCCCTATCTCACTTGCAGGATGGTTCCTCGGACCCCTGAGGCTCTGGGCGGCTATCTGACTAGCTCTGTCCAGTGAGCTTTGATCAGATGAGCTAGGCATCACTTTGGCTGGAGAGTTTAATTCTCAGCTTGAGAACAGTGATTTCTCGTCCTCTGACATAGCAGCTGGCAGCATTCAGTATGGTAGCTGCTCTGTCAGCACAGGTCTCTGCAGACCTGGAATGAGCAAAGCCCTGCCAAGGACACCCTTGGGTGTATACAATAAACAAGGCATGAACTTTGGTATTTGAAGCCTCTGAGGTTTACGATTGTCTGTTAGTGCAACATGTTCTGAATTGTTCTGACTGAGTCACTGTTTCCTCTTTTGCCTCTTTGTCTCCGTGAAGTCTCAAGGAAACCTCAACCCTGATTTTGACACCCTCTGCTCTGTGCCATATGCCTATCAGCCTTTTTCCTCTTCATAACTTTGGGTAACCCGGGAGGCATGTGGCTGGAGGTAGAACCATGTTCTGCCCCAGTATGCTGCTTTTCTTTTAAATGCCCTCTGTCCTCTAAGAATTAGACTTTTAAAACTTCAAAAGGCTCTAATAACCCCTCTGAGGTTTAACTGGGTAAGAATAGGGAGAAAAAAATAGTAGCAGAAAAATAGAAACACACTGTTTTATATGTTAAAATGTTGCTCTGCACTGTTTACAATAGCAAAGACCTGGAACCAACCCAAATGCCCATCGAC